TAATAATAATAATAATAATAATAATAATAATAATAAAAACCTGAGCTGCTAGCTTTGTTATTTCCAAACCAATTTTCTAGCCTTAACAATTTCCATTGCTATTAAAATGTGTGCGTATCAGTAGGTTTGGAAGTTATGGAGGTATAGGGTTGTATCAGAGAGAGAGGGAGCAAGAGAGGGAGAGAGGAAGAAAAGGAGAAAGGGAGGAGGTGAGAGAGAGAACAAGAGATGGAGATGAAGGGCAGAGAAAGACACAGAAACAAGTTTACGCAGTATTCATTTATACCACAGTCCTTACCTTATTGGTACCAATCCCTCTGTGTCATCTTTCTATGTAGAGAGTGGATAGGATGTTCTCTATGTGGAGAATGTCCAGGGTAACTCTTCAGAAAAGGGAGGGTCCTCTACTCTTCTGTTTGCATTTGCCCCCTTCTTTCTTCTCCCTGTAGCCTCCCATCTCTCCTTTCCAAATATTCTCACTTCTCTAACATTTCCTCTTCCAGTTATAACATGGAACAGGACAGCATTATGATCTGAGCTCTTAAAGATGGTTAATGGCAGGCTCTTCAAGCCTCTGGGTTCCAAGAATCACTGGTGGAAAACTTTATCCCAGAATCACGACATATCCCAGAATCTCTGAGCTTAGTCTTCAGAATCCTCTGTGAGTAAACCTCGGCCCAAGGATCATTATTTCACTCTTACTTTTGGGTCCTCCCCAAGTTATATGTAGAGAAACACTGTATCAGATATAAACACTTAACCCAAGGGAGGAGATGTGGTGTGAAATGTAAGGCAGGGAAATATACTGAAGGGACAAGTCTGGGAGATGATAGGATGATAGTGAGTGGGTCTCCCTCAGGGTGTGTGCCAACACTAAATTTATACCAATAAGTCTCCAAAGTCTGACTCCTTAGGAAACTTTCCATGGCAGCTCTTCCATTGTTCCTAATTGAAAAGTGAAAACCCTGGCTTCGTTTGCAACATGGTCACAACTTGAGGTTAAAATGATGAAGAAGTAAGAGACCCCTGGAACACATTAGTCTCTGTTTATTGACAGTGTACAGAACTGTAGATAAATCAATTCATGAACTTCTGTGAAACCAGCAAGTCTTCATCCCAGTCTGTACCTAGTGTTCAAAAGAGGAAGTCTCTAAAGACATGTGTGTTTAGCTCTTTTGTTTGATGGTGATAACAATTCTATCTCTTCTGAGAAAACTTACTGTAATGTCCTTCCCATGCAGAACACAAGTAGCTAGTCCTGAGTCTCCCTTACTGAGTGATGAAGTAGACCTCACGGTCTTATCAGGACAAAGCTACAGGCTTGGATTTTCCTGAGTATAGGCACAAAATATCTGGGCAGCAACTGAATATATTGATCAGTTGATAGTTTTTTGAAAATTTATTGTTATTTTTATTTTATGTGTAACCGTGTATTGCCTGCATGTATGTAAGTGCCCATGTGTTGTCCAATATCCATGGAGGTCAGAAGAGGATGTAGGATTCCCCTGGAAGTGGAATTAGAGATGGTTTTTAGCTGCCATGTGGGTGCTGAAATCTGAACCCAGTCGTCTGCAAGAGCAATCAGTGCCCTTAACTGCTGAGCCATCTCTCTAGGCCCCAGTTGGTAGTTTTTGTCTTCCAAGTTCAGACTATTTTGAGTTGTTAGCACAGAGAAAGTAATGGTGTGGTCTAACAGAGGTTGTGGTTTGGTGTGTTGTGTTCTCATGTTCATTCTTTCTCTTCGGATTGGCAAGATGATTACTTCCTAGCTTCATGTCTCTTCCTCATGGAGTCCATCTTCCCCTTGTGTCTACATTTATTTTCTCACATTGAGGCTAACTATATGCAATCTCTGCTTAACATTTCTTCCTCTACTCCCACTTTCTCCATTGTACACCATAAATTTTATTTAGTAAATTACAAATACTGCTGCTGTCAAAGTCCTCCACTCAATAACCAATCGTTTTTGATGTTTAGTGGTAATTCGTTATTTCTGTAACACACATCTTTGTCTTCTATGGCCAAAGGCCTTGCATACGGAGTCTCACTACTCATTTTCCCTTTCCGTCAACCTTTTCCTAATGACTGTCCTCCACGGTATGACCTCTGTATCCTCTGTATTTTCATATCTCTTTTACAGCATGCACATTTTCCTTTGCTTTGGTTTAGTTTTGCCTGCCACTTTCATTCTCTTTGTGAGCTGCTATTAA